GATACCCAGACGCCCAAAAAAATCCAAAATGCACTCGAGAATTGGAAATATCTTAAATGTTCAAAATGTCGATGATATTTCCTCCCGCAGTCTTGCTGCATAAGATCAGGGGTTGTTGTCAATTGCATGTGCGATGGATGATAAGAAAACTAGCCGAACCGAGCACAACTTGTAGTTATATGGTTCGAGTTCGTGGGAATATCTCTGCGTCAACAGAACAATTATGTAGAGGTTCCTGCTCTTGTGTGCACATGCCCACAGACAAACGACTGCTATGCAAGTCATAGCCAGGACTTTGGCCGTTGCTGATTATCCCGTCGTTAGGCGGCAATTCATTACGTCGTTGCTGTGGGGATTAGCCGCCTAACTACCCTCCCTCAGCGTCGACTCGACTTCAACGTCATCTTCAACTTCACCCTCGAGTCCTCCCACCACTATTGTTCGAAGGCAGACGCGTCTCTTTTAATTTAGGGGCCTTAGGAATATCGCCCTTAATTGCCACTGCTCTTGATTGCTACGTCCTCCAATCAGAATAACTAAATGAATAATAACTTTAATAAACTGTCTGCCTATTGTTCTGAACACTTACTCTCGCTCTCTCTGCTCTACTCTGCCGCCGTCCTGTCAGTCGTTCTGAACCTGGATCAGTTAAATCTGAAGTTACAGCCATAATATATCATATCCTCGACTTTAATATTCTGCCTACCTACTTAGTTCCCCATTTACTGTCTACGCGAAACGTGGATGCGGGGGAAGGGTTTGCGTGCCAACCCAGCTCCCTTCCTCTGTCCATCTCTTACCTGTCCACCATGGACTCTTTCAACAATATCCGGCGCAAGGATACCACAAAGGGCCCACCCCTCCGGGTTCTGTCGTTAGGTGCGTTTGGCCCATTTCCACCTTCAGTACTTCCAAAATAAAAACCTTATCCATCCATATAACTAACCCTTGTCGATTTTTTTTTTTCTTTTTTGGAAATAGATGGTGGTGGAGTCCGCGGCTACTCCATGCTCATCCTCCTCCAAGAACTCATGCACCGCACATACGTCGAGTGCGAAGGCAAAGCACCTTCCCGCGACCAAATCCCAAAACCGTGCGACCACTTCGACCTCATCGCCGGCACAGGCACGGGCGGCCTTATCGCGCTGATGCTGGGTCGTCTGTGCCTGGACCTCGAGACCTGCAAGGAGGTCTACGTCCGCATGACGAGACGGGTATTCGAGACCGATAAGACTATCGCCGGCATCCCCTATCGGTCAACCCTGTTCAAAGCATCGAAGCTCGAAGAGGCTATCCGCCAGTGCGTGTGGGAACACACCGTGTCGGAATCGGAAGGGAATGATGGTTCATCTCTGCCTCCTAGGATTCTAAATTCGCAAGGCTCGCACGGGCGACCGCAATCTTCACAAAATTTACAGAGGCGCCTTAGTCGAGCGAGCGTTGTTACAAGTGGCGCGTTAACGATTTCTTCGCCGGTGGCTTCTCGCGCGTCGATGGGGGTAATGAATGGGCTACGTTGGGGAAATTCAGATGCTATGCTTTATGATAGGCGGGAAGATCGAACGAAGACGTAAGTTTTATCATCATTTAGGCTTATATATATATATATAATCTAACTTGTGATCAGTGCGGTTGCGGCAGTCTATAAGGGAACCCCATGGAATGGAAGTGCGACTTTGCTACGATCATACGATTCGCGAAAGGAGCCTCCGCCGGAATTCAACTGCACAATTTGGCAAGCAGGACGGGCAACCTGTGCAACAGGTCTCGCATTCAAGCCTATCCAGGTGGGCCAACATGTTTTCGTGGACGAAGGTGCTGGCAAATATAATCCCTCGCCACTAGTCCTCGACGAAGCCGTCGTCAACGAGTGGCCGGGCAGAGAAGTGGGTATTTTTGTCAGCGTTGGAACGGGCAAACAGCCTGCAGGAACAAGCCATATCCCGCACGAGTGGTGGGAGGATGTCTCCGATTCTTTAGGCACTTTTGCCGAAGCTCGCAGACGGTTGATCGCGAAAATAGAAGGTTGCGAAAAGACGCACCAGTACATGCTCAAGGAGCATCTCGCGAAACGCAACGTACCCAGGGAGAATTATGTTCGTCTAAATGTTGAAGTTGGCGTTGGTGAGTTTGGTATGAACGAGTGGCATCGACTGGCTGAAATCAGCACCAGCACGCGGACCTACCTCTCCAGAAGCGACGTGCAGAAGATGAACCAGGACGCAGCAGTGAAGTTGGCCAAGGTCCATTTTATGCATCGGAGGAAGGGAGGGTCAGGTGAAGAAGGATTAGGACCTATAGCCGATTCGTCCAGTTTTGAAGAAGGTCGGGAAGACGGGGAGATGTTTCAACGGAAATATCGGCCTGTGCCGCCCGTCCCTCCATCGCGGGCTTCCATTTCATCACTACAAGCACGCCCGCGCCAACCTTCCACCATCGAATTGCCCGACGCAGTCGAACTTCCCGGTGAAGACTTTATCCCCGTATCATCTGTGAATAATACTAATAATAACCCACAACCACCACCCATCCTGCTCCCGCGTTTCCGACAGATAAGCCGCACAACATCACAGGATAAATTCACAATCCCCACCTTAGACGAATACCCACACCAGCTTAACTTTAATCGCAAACCAGCTCTCCACAACACCAACACCAACAACATCGCCAACGCGAACGCCAACCCCAGCACATCCACCCAGACACAAGCCCCAACCCCACCTTTCTCCCCGCAATGCCGCCTCAATGCAGACCGCGACAACCAACCGCCGCCCAACCGCCCAGATAGCAGCCACACAAACCCCTCCCCCCGCCGCAGCTCAGAAATGTTCATAAACCAAACCCAGCCCGCCCCAGCCCTTCAACCCTACCAATGCAACCCCTCGCACTCACCCCCTCTAAGCCCCCTACCAACCCAGCTCCAGCCCCAGCCCCCGCCACCACTACCACCAAAGACACCCATCCCTTACCCCGATGAAACGGGCAATGGAAGTGTCAATGGGCCCGTGACGATGCCCATCTCGCCGTGGGAGGCGAATAGGCCGAGCAGCAGTTATTATGGGAGTGGTGGGGATTTGCGAAATGGGAGTGGAGTGGTGGTGGTGAAGTTGCCGTATCCGAGTGATGGGCCGCCGCCGTTGGTGAATAAGGGGCGGAAACCGGTTTTCAGTCGGCGGAGCAGGTAGGCAGATGTATGAGGGGGGGGGAATTTCATTTTGGCTTTTTCTTTTTCCTGCTTTGTTGTATATTTGCCTATATCGGGGGTCTTTCTGTGGAGGGTATATATGTGTATGATGATGATTTTTATGTGGTGTTTGCATATGGGATCGGGATATGGGTTGGCAGGTGGCCATTTTTATCTACATTATACTCCATTTCTGTCTTAGTTTTCTTTTTCTTTTTCTTTTTCGTTTTTCTTTTTCATTTATCCTTTCTTTCACCCTTTAATGCTAATGATGAATGATGTTGAGGAAGTAATGATGACATGACTGGCGATGATGTGATATTTTGTTCATAGAGGCAAAACAACAGGCAAAACAGGAATGGAAATGACACGAATTTGAATGATTGATCATTGACGGAGTTCTACATTAGTTAACTGCTTCCTGAACAGTGGAAACATGTTACGTAGCAATCTGACTTGCTCTTTAATTTGTATTTCTTTGTATGCTGATTGGTTTTTAGAGACAGACAGGGCTTCAAATAGTTTTATATAAAACTATGAAGATTCTTTGTTAAGTTTCAGGATAAGAGCTGGTGACTAAGCAGGCCATCCCCGTAGCAACTCTTCAACTATGGACAGGATCCGAACTGTTTGTTGACGGCGCTTAGTTAGTTATATCCAGACAGATGAATAACCAACTAACTGTACAGTAGGACAGTTCTTCAATTCTAATGTTTCACATATGAGCTCTGACTTTGCTCTTCTTGCTGCTCAGAGAGCTCTGACAGTTTCGAGATCGTGTATATTTTATTTCATCAGATTTGAGATTAGTTGGTTATTCGTGAAGAAGATGGACAATCTCATCGGTATGAGATCACTGAATTAAGACAACATATTTTGCGAGAAATGAGCATGACAAATACTAAAAATTTTAATTATTCTGACAGTGTTTTGGCGTTGCAAATCTGTTTTCAGCAGTAATTAACTGCGCCGGCACAATTTTATGTTTAGCTGAGCGCCTATTTACACATGAATCCATTTATTTGCTTGCATCCGGCCAAATAATCAGTAAATAAAAAAATAAAAATAAAAATAAAAATAAAAATACTTCGCTCCACCACCCTTTGAACTAAATAATAAACAATAATTCTGGGGAGCGCGCCGTGGATTTCTCCTTTCACCTACCTCTCCCTTTATTATTATTATCTGTTCTGTTTCTGGTTTGGATTCTCTCCATTCTTAGCATATATATTCTCCAGTTATTGGTTTCATTTTCTTCCAATTTCGGAGGTTACCTCGGAGGTACTTAGATTCCTGTCTCCAACCCCATCATTTATCCAAGCATGCTGCAGATACCCCTCAACGTCAACGTTCGCTTACTTACTGGTTTCCAACATTTTTTCGACAGCATCCGTTGATTGATTACTTTCACTGATTGACCGACTCCCAATGATGACTGGCTTGCTGCCAGACTGACAGAATCCTGCAGCAACCTACGTATCCTTGCGACCCTGTTTCTGACGAAATCCCATCTCATTTTGCCCTTCTATATATTCGCAACCTCGACCACCCACCGCAGGGATAAACACATTCCATCACCTGTTACAATGGTCTGAATGACTCTCCATATCGTATCGGCTCAACTAGCCACGGTTCAACCCAGGTTTGGAAAATAAAATTAAGTTAAGCTTGTTTTCTACCCGAATCAACGAACCACGGCTCGTCCCCGGAGTTTAAAGAGTCTGGGGCAAGACATCTATATAATCATCTCGACCTCAACGGCGCCGCCCTACCGACCGTTGACGACTAAACCATCCCAAATCCCAAGTCGCCTACCATGTTCGACCTCGCTGAAATACAGTCAATTTATGCGCGGTCTGGTGGTGGCGGGCTGGGTGGCCCAGAGGGTCGACCACCCGTCTTTAAGGCAGTGGGTATTTCCCTGGCCATCGGCTCGGGACTCTTCATTGGCGTGTCCTTTGTTGTGAAGAAGATCGGTCTCCTCAAGGCAAATGTCAAGTATAATGAGGATCCTGGTGAGGGAATGGGGTATCTGAAGATGTGGTGGTGGTGGGCTGGGATGACGCTGTGAGTTCTCTTTTTGTACACATTATATACTACTGCATGCCTATCTAGACTATTCAGAAAACTAATCGTCCATTCCCTCCCCCCACCCCCCCTCTTCTTCTTCTTTCTTTAAAACAAATAGGATGATCATTGGAGAAATCTTCAACTTTGTTGCATATGCCTTCGTCGACGCAATTCTAGTGACACCCCTAGGCGCCCTTTCCGTCGTCGTCACCACCATTCTCTCCGCCATCTTTCTCAAAGAACGCCTCAGTTTTGTTGGAAAGGTTGGCTGTTTCAACTGCATTATCGGTTCCGTGATCATCGCGATGAACGCCCCCACCCAGTCGTCCGTCGCAACCATCCAAGATATGAAACGTTTCGTCATCGCTCCTGGTTTCCTCACTTGGGCTGGCCTCATCATTGCGGGATCTGCGTTCATTGCTATATGGGGTGGACCCCGATACGGCAACAAGAGCATGCTTGTCTACATCAGTATCTGCAGTCTCGTTGGTGGTCTGAGTGTTGTCGCTACCCAGGGCCTGGGGGCAGCGATAATATCTCAGATCCAAGGGGTTTCGCAATTTAAGGAGTGGTTTCTGTATGTTCTATTGGTTTTTGTTATTGCGACTTTATTGACAGAGATTATTTATTTAAATGTGAGTGAATAACCCTACCTTCCCATCCCCCTTCCATCTTCTACCTTTTCTCCGATTCAATTGCAAGTTTCTGATATCGTCCACAGAAAGCGTTGAATATTTTTAATGCGGCATTGGTTACCCCCACGTACTATGTCTTTTTTACGAGTGCCACGATCATCACCTCCGCAATTCTGTTTCAGGGATTTAAAGGAACTGCGATTAGCATTACGACTGTTGTCATGGGCTTTCTTCAGATTTGTTCTGGCGTTGTTTTGTTACAGCTCTCAAAGTCCGCTAAGGATGTTCCAGATGCTGCTATTTTCAAGGGAGATTTAGATCAGGTACGAGAAGTGGCTGAGCAAGAGGAGCCGGAGACGGAACCAAAAGCAGACGCTATTCGGGGTACGGCTGCGATAATTCGACGGATATCAGCTGCAAGGCAGAAGATGGAAGCAGAAGAGGCCAGGAGGTATTACGAGGAGAGGAAATTGGATGAATTGGAACCACCACGGGAAGGGGAAATCATTGAATGGGACGGCTTGAGGAGACGCAGGACGATTGTTGGGGAGAGCCCTTTTAGAACCCCTTCCCGTCGATCAACAGGCCGTCATCCACCTCTAGGAATGTCAAAATTCCCTGATTTTGTGGACGATGAGCTTCCCCAGCACAGGCCTAGCACTAAGGGAAGCATCAAAAGTTCGTTTTTCGCCCGAAGCCGTACGTCCAGCGCGCTGCATCCGCATTGGAGACCAACACATTCTTCCCAGGAACCTCACGGTCCAATGGCCCCGGTACTAACGACGATCCCGAGTGAGGCAGATGAAAGGAGCGGTTTCAATACTGATACTGCTGGCATCGACTCTTCTGGGGCCCTGGGGCAAGCTTTCCAACATAACAATGGACAACACCGCCGGAACCGGAGCGGAACTGTACAGACCATTCAATGGGCAAATAGTGTCAAATCTGTTGATTCTTCCAACCAGTTCTCGCCCACCCGTAGCACTACTATTCCACCAACTCCACCGCCGCACCGCCAATTCTCATTCCACAACATTTTCAACCGTCGTTCTTCTAAAGAACCTCTGTCTAGTGGTGCCGGAATGACTGAAAATCCTTCACCTGGAAAGCGGCTTTTTGGGTTTGGCCATCTTCCATCTCGGACTCTTCACCATGAGCAGATACGTGAAATGAGGGACGGCACAGAAGAAGAAACCCTTGGTCTTGTCATGGGAGATAAATCCCAATCAATGGAGGAGCAGAAACCCCAGGAATATACGCCGTCACCGTCACTGTCGCCTACAACTCCAACCATGGACAAGGAAGCTGTTAAAAGCGGTATGGTCACAGCGAGCCATCAAGGCCCAAGCAGCTCTCCGTCGGTATCAAGCGGTTCCTCTACGGGATCGGGCACGGAATACAAACTACACCACACAAAATTTCCTTCACACAACAGAGATGAAGAGGCTGCAGAAGCTTCGAAACATCAAAACTTCACACCCTCACCTCCCCAACCACCCAAATACAGCGAGTCCGCTACAGCCAACTCCATCCCAACCGATGAAATATATTCACCACCACCACTATCCCATTCCCGCTCCTCCCCACACCTACCTTCTCATCCAAACAGACGTTCAACTTTCACCCTCCCACCAACACCAAGACACTCACTTCCTGCTGTCCCCACAGAGTCCCACTATCAACACCCATACATATTCCAAGGCGCGCCGGAAACAGCTGTATCCCACCATTCTGCCGCCTCAATCTCTTCACTTCCACCGCCTCCGCAGATTCCACTGCCAGAGTCCTCATCGACATCTCTTGCTTCAAGTCTTAGTGCGGAGAATTAGAGAAGGCAAAGGCGCGAGAGGAGGTTGCGGTAGGAACGGAGGGGGTCTGGTGTTGCTGCCTTGGAGAAGGGAGTGAAGCAGGGCCATGATGATGGTGATAAACGGAAAGGTGGTGGGAGAGGTGGATCGTTTTTGTAGGACTGTATTTTCCGTGGAGCTGACTGTCCTGCCTCTTCCTTTTTAGATATGTTGTGTTTTATTCTATGAATGGGACTATTTCCGCTGTTGTAGTGAATATACTGGCGGGTTTTTTTTTTTTTTTTTTTTTTTTTTTTTTTTTTTTTTTAAATCCGCTTTGTCTTTTCCTGCATCATTGGGTGTTTTTGCGGGAGCATGTATAGAAGGACAGATTATTCCAATGTTGTTTGATCTTTTCGGCAGAACTGGATGATAGTCATCTTTCTCTTCACGGATATTATATTGGCGGTGATATATATATATATATATATTATTCTTGTACAGAACGTGTTCATGTTTACACTTTTTAAGTATCTGATACAAATGCTGAACGGAACGCATAGAATTGAATTCATCGGTTCAAAATCAAAAGGGACTCCCAGTTCCTTTCAGCTGCATGCATCTGAAAGTCGGGATATAAACGTATCGCGGGTTATATAAAGGAAAAATCTTAGACGATATGTCGATCCAGACTACTCTATTTCCTTTCGGTCGTGTGTCTTGAAACGTTTAGACATGAGGCATAAAATTAGCGCAATTAAATAGGAGTGGAAATAGAAAACACTCTATACCCCCAGTTATGATGCCCGTTGGAACATGCTCATCACACTTCTCTGTTTATCTGGAGCCATGTGAAAAATTGCGAATCTTGCTTCTGGAAGGCGACATCCTGCTTTGATGCTTTCTAAAACCCTGCAACGAGAACCGTCGTCAGTTTTCACGGTTTTGACATAGAAGGAGTAGAAATGTAAAACGGCTTTAGTTGGAAACAAGGGGCGGGGAGACTGAATAAAGCTGAATATCAATGACAACACCTAAGCCAGGGGAAAGCGTGGCATGTACAAACCATTCTACTCCAACGAACTTCACCCCTTTTCCACCCTTCCGCTGAATCTCCCACTGCAGCTTTGTCGCCGCGAGCCCTCCACCAGCACCGCTACCATTTTTATTCCTGTTCGGCCTGCCAAGGATTACATGGGTGACTGTCAGTCGAGCGAGAGCAAAAGTGACGTTTGCGCCGTTTGAAACGAGAAGATGTTTGAGCTTATGGTCTGATATAAGTGGATAAGTAGAGCCATTGACGTATATCGTCAAATTGGTAAATATTCCTTTGGTTGTAGATGCTAAGGACGTCAGTTGAGAAACAGGATGGAGGCTACCTTGAGGGGGCTTTGGAGGAGAACTAGGAATGATGGTTTTCGACTCGCATCGCGTTGCATGTGTAGGGCTCTTGATATTTCCTTCTCTTCCTTTTGGATCTGTCTTAACATACGGTGTACCGTAAACCCTGTTTCGTTCATGCAATCTGTCATTCCTGTCACTTCCAGTTCTCGAATCATCAAAAGCGAACGCTCCGTTTCCTTGGGTAATGCCGCCATCGATGCTGTCCTTTGCAATGATTTGCTTCATGTCCACTGTCCCTCCATGTAATCTCCTCTTTTTAACGCCACCCATTAAAGATCTGATATCTCCGGATCCTCCTTCTCTCCTTCTAGCTTCTCCATACTGCGCTGAAGACACCCAATCCCACTCACCGTCGCCAACTCCACCACCACGACCTGTGTCATCCCCAAACTGTCTCCCAAGTTTTTGAGACAACACCTGTCGCCAGCGGGGGCCACCAATATGGGATTTTCCCGCTCGTTGATGGCCAGTTGATGCTGAGTTCCAGGGGTCAAATTTTTCAAGGGTTGCCGCCGTGGGATTGGTTAAGATGTCGCGGATAGAGGCCGGAAGAAGGCGTTTATTGCGGGACATATCCCCGTACCTTTTTTTTTTTTAACTTCAGAACAGGATGATAAAAATACCTCTCGCTGGACACGTAGATAGTATCATTCAGGTACCCATGTGTATTGGGTGAACATATTCGTTCCGTAGAAGCGCAGTTTCTAACAACGTGGAAATAGGCACCCGTACTAACAGATTGGCTTGTTTTTGGAGGGGCTAGAGAGGAGAAATAATGGAGACGACCTCACCACACTGAGGAAGAACGATATGTGTAGCTCTCATGGGGCTCCCCTCCGCTCAGCATGTGTATAACTACCGCAGTCGTATTAAGAAGCGAAGTTTTCTGCTGTTCCCCGCCGCGACGAAAAGGTTATTTTGCCCCGATGCGACCCAGAGATCGACGGTGTTGTCATTTACCCAAAACGGGTTTAGCGGGTTGACGCTTCCCACGGATACTTTCAGATCACGTGAATACCAGGGAAATGCTTAGTCAGATGTCTGTAGTCAACTATAGTTAACTAGTTAACCCAACTACCTTAACTATTCCTGCTCTGCTTCAGATCAATCACCTCAACGTCAACGTTGACATTGCGGGGTTTCAGACATCAACACCACAGTCGAATCGTTTGAGAGGTGTGCGTCGTACCTGCTTTAATGTTCTTTTTAGCTGCAGAGTTTTTGCGCCCTGGATGATTACCATCCAGTGCTGTTATGGGAATGCTTTATCTCTTTCTGAGACTCGCGTGCTGTTGTGCAATCTCTCCTTATTACATGCTACACACCCTCCTCAGCCGGCGTCAATCTGCGGGAAAAAAGAGTTGGAGGGAGGATTTTCTGGAATGCTCATGCCGGATACTTCTGGTGAGCAGCGGGCATAAGATAAGACCTGCGGGGTTCACCAGACTTAAACTGTGGGATGGACCCTGGAGACAGTACTGTTGAAAGAGAACAGATGTAAAAGTGATTGAACTTGGTACATGCTCTTTATTCCAAGGAACCGCGAAGACACAGCTTGACTTACTATGATAAAAGAGGGAACTTTTGATTTTGGGGCAAAAAACAAAGTAAGTATCTCAATCCGAAACCCCTTCCCCAGGTACTTTTGCGCGCAATGTTATTAGGTGAATAGTTCTTTATTTACTCCACTTTATATATTGATCATGGCCTAGTGGGCTAAAAATTTTCCTACATATCAGGAACCAGCTGTACCAGCTGTACCCTTGTGCATCGTTGATTCTTGACCCAAGAAGGAGACAAACCAGAATTCCGTCCTTGAAGCCCTGGAGACTAGCTGAATAATGTGGCTCCTAAAATTAAGTTGAGATCTCGACATATGCCACAATTGCATACGACCCCTCTTTGTTCTTAACAAGAAAGAAAAATATCATTCGTGATTCGTGATCGACACTCCGGAAATGATTCTCATTAGCAGTTCGCAACCGCGATGTGTGGTCATGAGAGCTTTACGACAGTCCAAGTACTCATTGTGTTATTCCTTATTAAAAGATATTCACAAGAATCGAGATACCACTACATTCTCTGTTATCATCCTTTTTCAGATGTGGCTGATCTCTTCAGCTGTCATTTACCAAATCTTCTGCTTCTCTTACTGTCTTCCTCTGCTGCGAAGCTTATCGGACTAAATATCCCATTCCGACTTTGCGAGCCACCAGCGGCCCTGCTCCCATGATACATGTCTGGTACTCATGCACCGCAAATCCGTGCAGTAGCGGACAAACAGAACATCATTGATCCATGGAAAGATTTACACTTGACCTGCTTCAAAGGATATAACAAATATTTACTATTTCCCCATTCTGTTTCCCATTCGGAATGGACCCATCGCCCCAGAGGGATAATGAAAACTGCAACAATGCAACACGAGTGGCGTTGTCTGTACCATTGATTCCAAAATTCTCCCTCCCAATTACGAAGTCTTCTTCCTTTCCCTTAGTGGGTGGGAAACTGCTACGTGGCACCTGTGAGTTGCGGGCATTTTGACCAGGCTTCCAGTTGGCCGTGCGCTCAGTATGTGGCTCCAGTGGGTTAACCAACCGGCAAAAGTGGTGTGACAAGACATTATTTCCATGTGGTGGTGGGGAGGGAAAAGGGATCATGGTTTTGTGTGAGAGTACAGTGCATGTAATGTGCAACCCAAGTATGTTGCTGCCCACTTCCCTGACAGGCTGCGCGCTCAGTCAGGTAATAGAATGACTCTCTAATCTCGATCTAGGTCTTTCCAACACAAAACATGATTCGGTGCCTAAGTGAGGTTGTTCTAATCTGGAGATATACGATAAACACTCCGGTTGAAATTACTAACCCAAAACCTTTTCCTTTCAGTCACGATCGATCAGGTCCATCCACTTTCGTGTTTCTTGATAGCTTGAAGAATTTTGTTAGCATATTATCAATTTGCCGTTCCCTCAAGACTCAAGAGCAAAGGTGGATCGCCAATTTATTTCTTTAATTTGGTTTTATTTTACAGTCGGTCTTCATTTGCCCGTGTGCTGCTGATATCTTCTAAGGTGATTCTTTTCGTTACTTGCCCCCCCCGTCCTATTTTTGCCTATTGGTAATTGTAATCATTGCTTGAGTTTTCTTATCAGGTTTACTCTGGTTGCTGGTTTTGTTGAAGGGCATGTTCATGTTTGCTCACTTAAAACAGCAAGACTGGAAAAGTCTCAGGGTTTTAGTGATACCAGTCGCCACTGTATATGTTGGGAAATGGGGCAATATATTCTGAATTTTACAATAAAGAGCACATAGATCTGGTCAACTTGGAGGGAATATGTCCATTCTATCTTTAATGGGTACAATAATAATGCCTTGATACAGATCCTGCTTCAATGACTACAAAACTGCCACCCCTAATCCAATCACGGAATTGGCTAACATTGTAGGTGCGGAGCAGAGAATCAAGCAAAATTATCCGATGAGACATTATTTATTTTATTTTCTAAAAAATTCGGCTTTATTAAAATATAAACTCTGAACATTGATTATGCTTCGAAGCAAGAAAAAGAAACATAGGAAATATGTTTATCAACACCGTCGAAGTAATATCATATCAAATGCTGACCCGCCCCCAAAAAAATAAAAATAAAATAAAATAAAATAAAAGCATTTCATGCATACAGAAGAAGATCTTGCATCTCCCTCTCACTTTCATGCCGTCATGTGCTACTGAGGTTCCCTGCACGTGACGCAACGCCACGAGGAAGATCTCAACATCGGAGCAAAAGCGTCTGTGGCCAAAATGCTACGGCCCGTATGTGCGCACAATAGACCCTAAAACGTATATTGGATGATTGGACACTCCGCACCTGCGGACAAGAGCGTAGCGAGGATACCCCGCGAGGTAAGTTCATCCAAAGACTGCACAGAGAGCAAGCAAGAAATACTAATCGTCGTCTTTGGAACCTCCTCAATGCCTCTACAATCAAAGGATGACGCGGGTGCAATAGCAGAATAGTGCAACGAGGGAGATAGGGCAAGTAGTATAGGATGGAAAGGGGTTCTCTCCAAATACATGGCGAGTTGGTTTCATATCGCATAACACTCTTTCCTCAGCCGAGGTGAATATAGTATATAGCACCTAAGAGCATGTTATGTCCAGGAATCAACCTGGGCGGTAATCTGCATTGCCCAGGGTTTGGGGGTAGAAGACGTCAGGAGACAGGAAAAAAAAGAGGGCAATATAATGAACAATTTCGGATGTCTTGGATCTGGATTTGGTGATTCGGCGCTCCAACCTCCAACGGGCGTACAAAATGCATCTTGAACTAAAATAAAGAAGGCGTTAGTCGAGAGAAAGCTCCCGTTGACACTACATATGTGCCACATTATCATATTCCTCAGCCCATTTCCTTGGGCTTGCCTGCTTGCTGGGACTTGTTCCTGGCGGTCAAGAAGTTGCACAACAAGCAACTTGCCCTTGCACCTCTGATCTTTCTGTCCAACTCATGCGTGCCTCCACATATTTTCTGTACTTTCCCAAAGTACTGCTGGCGTTGCACAGGCTTGGACATCCTTTGCCAAAAGCCGAAATTTCTGTAACGACTCGTCATGACTTCCGTCAGTTTGAGCAACCGGTAGGCCAACCCAGGGAAGCACGAAACTCCTCATTATTCAGAATGGAAGCAGATAGCCCTAAATGGACACTTCTTCGACTTGAGGAAGTTCATGAACACTTTGAAGAGAGTCGATCAGCCAGCCTCTTCCGAAGAGACATATGGGTGGAGCCACTTGGCACGAAACAAGGGACCATGTCCCGAGGAAGACACGATTCATAAAACCCAGTCCAACCCCAGTGAGCACACACATTCTGAGCGCAGAGTTACCTGACGACTTCGCTGGATGTGGTTCCAGTTTCTAAAAGTAGTCGTGTTGCACGCGGGCTTTCTATGTTGTTCATCTCCATAATACTCCCATCAAACAGTCAAACTTCGGGGAGGAAGATGGTGGGGGGAAGGGGGCATTTTGAGATTATTTCTATCTTTATGCCATCATCGTCTTTGTGAGATTATCTTGAAGGGAATAGATGAGTCCATAGTCAGACTCGGAGCCAGAGAACTAGGCTAGAGATAGTTTGGTGTTGCTGCTAGTTCCAAGATAAGATCCGTGGCGTGGATCGGTCTGTTGCTGTCTTGCATACTCGCATATGCATTAGCGGGTCGATGCAGCTGAAACGGGGCAGGCCATCCACATGAATGCTATGATTTCGCTTGTTCTTCAAGTCTTAGGCCAGTTGAAAAGGGGGCTAAAATCTGTGCGACGTCGGGAAGCAAGGGCAGTAGGGTATGCTGTAGGTTGTGGTGGGGAGCGTCAAGATCTTTTACTAGGATGGTTGAGGGGCATGACAAGGATAGGTCTAGCAAAAATCGAACAAAAACCACTCAATCCCGCAGTGGGTGAGAGTCAGCAATTCGTTATGTGAACCCGGGGGGGACTGATCTGACCCTAAACAGTTAATAACATCCGAAACTGGCACTTGATATTATCTTTTGCCTCGATGTCAGTGCATCCAC